TAATTTTAGAGTTGAAAGTACTTAACAGTGTTCACCTACAGTTTACATGTCCTATATACACGAAATGAAAAGTATTTAAAAAAAAAAAAATTTATGTTTACGTATTCGTTTCATTGTACTATAGAGGAATACAGTTCCACCTTGTAAGAATGATTGTTAAATTGTTAAATAACATGTTCATGAGTGTTACGACAATACTAAACGAAGATGTTAGGCACGTCACGCGTGCCTGGGGTATTATTTAAGCTATGTATTGTGCCATGCAATATTTAGTGAATTTGATAAAAAAGAAATTCCATGTTTCAATTGTATATTATGTGAAAGTTTTACGTTTTCAGGGTCGAAGCAATGCAATATACCGTTTTAAGAGTTCTATACAAACGACTACCAATCGAGACGAAACAAAAAACGAATTCGAGAATTATTAAATAAAGCATACTTGAGCAATCCACGCGATTCTTGTATCATTCCTGTGTTCCTTCTACCCCCCACGTTCTCCTAACATAAATCCTCGTTTCGCGTTTCATTATTTTATTAATGGAATACTATTGACGAGTAAAATGTACATTTGGAAATTTGTTTAAAGCATGTGGTCTATATTACTCACAGTGATTCAAAGTAAGCGTATTCTGAGAGTTAACAAAGCCGACTCTTACACGTCTAAGTTACACGATACCCTGACGAGTCTGCGGTGGAATCGCAGACTTCCATGGAAATCAATTTGCTTTCTTTATACGTAAACGATTCTGTAACACCGATACTGAGGTTCCGGTAAACTCTCTGGTCGAACGAGATTGAATGAAAAACAGTATGTTCAATAAAAAAATAGTAAACACTTCGCGCGACACGAGTAACCCCCTCTATTATTCTCATTTGCGAAGACAATCGTTAACAGTGTCAAGACCGAAACCAGTTACTGGCAAGCGTAGGAGAAACATTTACTATTTCCCATTTGAAACACTGGTTCACATAAATACATGGTTCCATTTTGAACGTGTGTTATTATCAATACGAATTTTACATGTAGAGATATATTCGTCGGTTCACAACGGATCAACGCTTGCAAGCAACGACCCCCTTCAAAGAAACATACTGAACAAACGATCAGAGTGACCAGCAAGGTCGTTGCGAAGTCTTTCTGAAAGAGAAGAGGCAAAAAAAAGGAGAGGGAAAAGAGAACAGTCGAGAGAGTCTGTACGCGTCCGAGTCCATAAAAACTTCTTATAGAATTGTGTCCCCTTCGTCGATGCCCAACATCTTTAGGTCGTCCGGGCCAGGCTGAGTGTCCACCTCCGCGTCCGTCTGCGTTATCTCTGGCGGCGGTTGGTCCATGTATTCCGGCCCGTAACCGACGCAGCCCAACATACTGTACATGGACGAGTACATGATGTTGGTGTCCTGATGGCTCTGCTGTTTGGTCTCGGCCTCTTCCTTGGGGAAGATGATGTTCAGCGCCTCTTGCAGGTCGTCGGGCAAGGGAATACTCGGGTCTGTTCTCTTCTCGGTCGGCTCCGGTATCTCAGAGATGTCCTGAGTGGCGCCTTCCACTGTCGGCAACGGCGGTGGCGGTGGGTTTTGATGATTCTGAACGAACGGAACGGCCGGCATCTGCGGCGGTGGGTTGGTCATGTACGGCGGATGGCTCTGCACCGGTGGCCGCACCGGCTGGTGGGCGGGGAAACGCGGTTGGCTCTGAACAAACGGCGGCGGGTTGGAGATGAACGGCGGAGGCGGTCGACTCGTCGAGAACTGCGGCCTGCTCTGCACCGTCTGCGACTGCTGTTGCTGTTGCTGCTGCTGCGACTGAGCCGTGAACGTGGGCGGCGGTCTGTTCAGAGGCGGAGGCGGGTGAGGAGGCAGAGGCAGCTTGGATATAGTCGGCGTCTGCTTCTGCTGCTCCATCATCGGCTCCTCTATCACGGTCTCCTCGGACTGGTCCTCGATCTCCATGTCCACCACCTGCTGCGTCGGTTTCGCCTCGTTCAACACCGGCGGCGGCGGAGCGACCAGGATCTTCATGGGCTGATTCTTGTTGGCCGGAGCTCCCGTCGACGGGCTCGCGTTCGTCCCGGTGTTGCTGTTGCTGTTGGCGAGGCTGTTGTTGCCCAGATTTATAGGGGTGGCGAGCTTCGTGATGTGCACCACGCCGGGCGGGTTGATGATCTCGTTGGGGACCTTCGGAGTGTCCTCGAATTTACTCTGCTGGTATGGAAGCGGTGTGATATCTTTCTCGGGCAGCTTCGGCTCCTCGGTCTTCTTCTTGAACAACGGTAGTCTGCCGATGAACGGCAACTTCCCCTTGGACACCTGCGGCGCCGACTTCTTCGTCTGCACGTTGCCCTTCTTCGACTTGGACGCGGACTCGTTCGTCTTCTTCTCGAATTTCGATTCATCGTTGGATGAATTGTCGTCTCTTCTGTCCTTCCCGTACTTGTCGTAGTTCCTCTTCGGACTGTCGCGCCAGTTCCTGTCGCGGCGAGGCGAGTCGTTGCTGTCCCGTTTCCTACGGTCGTCGTAATAATCCCGATCCCTGTCTCTGTCTCTTTCTCTGTCGCGGTCGCGGTCTCTGTCCCTGTCCCTGTCTCTGTCGCGGTCCCTGTCCCTGTCGCGTCCTCGCCTCCTGTCGTACCTGCTGTACCGGTCGTACTTCTCCTCCCGTCTGTCGTACTTCCTCTCGCGGTCCTCCTTGTATCTGTCACCCTCGCGGTCCCTCTCGTCCTCCTTCTCCACCGACTTGTTCTCCGGCGGCTTCACGGTCATGTTCACCTGCTGCTTCGTCCAGAATCCCATGTGGGGCTTGGGCATCTCCTCCGGCTTTGGCAGCTCGATCGGCTTGTTGACTATTGGCTGCGGCTTCTCCTCCTCCTTCTTTATCCAGAACGGCTTCGGCGGCTCCTTTGGTCCCCAGACCTCCAGCGTTTCCGACTTCGCTTTATTCGAGAAGGACGCTTGCTCCTGGTCCTCCTCTTCCTCCTCCTCTTCCACTGTCTTCTCCTCGCTGAGTCGTCGACCGCCGATCGTCTTCATCTCCTCCTCTTGCTTCGCTTTCAGCTTGTCGCGAATCGAGTTCAACAGCTGCCTGTCGTCGGTTTCCGTCGGCTGCGGCTCGGGCGTGGGAGGCTGATTCATGTGCTGCGTCATCTTCGACCAGTGCCCCTTCAGCTTGATCCGGTGGTAATCGATCTCCTCGTTCAGGATCGCCTGGGTCGACGCCTTCATCTTGTTCCGCATCGCCACGCGAATGCTCTTCGACATGTCCTGGTCCGAGTCCGTGTCCGAGTTCTCCGACTCGCTGGAACTGTCGCTGCCGCTGCTCCTGTTCCGCCGCTTCTTCGACTTCTTCGACTTCTTCTTGCTCTTCTTCGACTTCTTCGACTTCGGAGGCGGATCGTCCTCTTTGTGCTTCTGCAGCTCCATCTGTATCTGCTTGTGCTTCTCCTCGGAGAAGGCTTTCTCGCGGTCCGCCATCCAATCAGTTTCCCAGTGCGGATTCTGTTCCACGAAACTCTGAAGAGAAAGGAAACATTCGTCATTGCTAAACGTTTTCATCGGTTTTCATCTGAGATTTCCTGTTGTCTCAAATCATTGGTTTTTCAAGGAAGATTCTCATTGAAGTTTGTAAATTGTGTTTTATGTTTAATCTAGGATTGAGGAGAATGAACTTCTCCGAAGAGAAACTTACGGAATAATTTTCGGAATGCTGCTTCGATTTCAAATGCAAACTCGCGCAATGGAGATCGCCTATCCAGGAGTCGCAAAGTTTACAGTACCATGCCGTGGCTGCGCTGAAGAACTGCAGACCTATAACCAAATGACACATCACTTAATATCGCTCAAGCTTTGAAAATTGGTAAACAATTTAAGTTCATAAAGAATGACCTTATATTCTGCCACGACACATTCATGTCACTGAAAACAAAAATTAATACATTAAAAGATGCTCAACAAATGGTTGACAACATTAAATATCTCTTGGATGATCCCACGTTGCTCTCTAGAAAGAAACTAAGGTGGGCAAGGAATCAGGGGAGAGGGGAAGAACTCATGCTTTATTTTTGTACAGATATGCCACACAAGTTTTACAAGTGAAAGAAAAATTAACGAATTACATAAAGTAACGTAAGCTTACACACATACTGCAATTGCCTCATGCATACTTCCAAAATACTCGTTTAATTTTTAATTATCAGAATGACTAAGAGACAACTTCTCGCAGGAGCGTATATATGTGTTTGTGTGTGCACGTATGTCCGTATACATCCGACATTAAATCTTTCAGCAATTGGAGTATGTTTCACAAAAGTATTCTGACTTATACTCATTAATATCATGAACAGGTGTATGCATATATAGATGTAACAAGTATATTAAATACGTAACACGAGCGAAGTATCACAGTTTACACATCTCGTTATAACGGGATACGTTATTTAAATATTGTGCACGCACTAAATCATTATTGGTAACAGTGATTTCCTTTGTACGAGATATTATCACATTTGCCAAAAGAATAATCTTTCTTCGTTCATTCTTGATCGTAAACTTTTACGACGACAGACGAACGATACACTTGCGAAGAATTCAAGAAACAGTTCGACAATAGAAGCTGAAATATCTGAAATCGCTCGAAAGTGTGCTCCTCGAGTCCCTTTCAAAATCCAGTGCATCTCTACGGTGTTTAACCATTGTTGCTAGAAAATTTGCTGCTAACGTTTCCCATGGATACAAACGCTTCCCAGAAACAAAAAGAAAGCGATGTTCCACGAGTGAAATTAATATAGCCCCGCGATA